CAGTCCCTATCTTTTAATCTAGTCCCTCAGTATAGATAATTTTAGAGGAGAAAACACAAGGTATCCTACTCAAACTCATGTTTTAATAAAGAAATATAGAATTTTAGGCCATTATGATGATGCTAGGGAGACAAGTAAAATCAAGGTTGGATGAAATGTTCCAGTAATAATTCAAATTCAGTGCAAGTTTGGGAAATAAGTAAACAAGTCTTCAAATTCTGTCCAGTTTCTACTTGTGTTCTCTATCTCTGGCATAGCAAAAGCAGAGAGCCAAAAATGAAATTGACTTTCAATTAAAATCTGGAAAAATCTCACTTTCGTGCCTCAGAAAAAAAAAAAGCAACGGATCATTGTTTATGCTTTGCTCTTTCAGTTCAGAACGGATCTGTCCCAAGTGATCCTCTATAAGATGTGAATAAGCATGATAAACTCCATATAATAAAGCTGTATCCATCAGCCATCTTTTTCTCCTTAACCTCATCATGCTTTAGATTTCCTATCGTACACTATCATGCAATGTTTCTCCAGCCTCATCAGTCTCAGCAGAGAAATGTTTAATATAAAGTTAGCGAGACCTCTAAAAATATTTCTCTATCTAACAGGCACAAGGGAGAAAGATTGCTATGTAAACTCCATATTCATGGTGTACTCATGGAAATGTAATGTGTATGTATCCCTTTCTCTGGTCTATGCAGAGCTGAATCACACTTATGCCTTCATCATTGCAGCAAACAGTGTTAAATTAAGTGATTGAAACAACTAGTATTGTGCTTTTTTTGGTCTTTGTTCCTTTTTGTAAACAAAGGGCCTGCTCGCATGAAATCTCTGGTGATTTTTTCTCTCCCTCTTGAAAAGGTTTGAAATGCAAATTGTCTGCTCTTGGTCCTGATGAAGTTATCAAGCAGGGCAAGGGCTCCAGTCCAAAGAACATGAGAATAACTAGCTCCAAATTAAAACAAATAAATATTTATTATATCAGTTATTTAAGTAGGTTATAAATCTGAAGACTTGGAATATCTTCATTTTTGTCTTAAATCTAATACCTCTCTGGGGTAGAGAATGAGTTGGGGTAGAATGACCATTTAATGAAGAATAAAGTTTAGGGTTATTCTCATTGGGAGATATATATATACTTCCTATGGACTCACATGGAGCCACAGGCATTCTTAGGAAATAATAATGGTGGCTGACTGCAGAGGTTCCAGGAAAAAGGCAAAACTGACATGAGATTACAGACTGCATTTTGAAGATAGGGGGAGGAGAAATTATTAGAGTGGATGGCAGGAAGCACCATCACCATTAGGTACATGGGGGGTGTTTTGAGACGGAACATATCAATGAATGTGAGTAGGTGAGTGCTTTTTTGCCAGCCATTTTGCGAAAGTGCTCCCGCCAAGTGCTGAAAACTGCAAATATGCTCACCAAACACAACATCTTGCCTGACTTTTACTGCATTCAAATATACCTCGTTGGCTTAATAATTTTGCTTCTGTGCAACTAAGATCAGGAATCACTTTTTCCTTCAATAAGGCAAAACAGTTCTATTGAAGTAAACTATCCATTATGAGGTAGGTAGTGCAATTCTATAGTGAAGTCGGTTATGCGGGTTCTAATGAATCCTCCAAACAGAGACAGCTAGACCATCCTAAATGAAATGGTGTGGTACTTAGGCTCATATCACCTTAATCAACAAACAGACATATTATCCTCTATCGTACCTTTACTACATTGGTTAGACGTGACCTGAGCTCACTTCTTTCAGCTCATCTGGTAGCCTAGAACAGGTTCCTTACTTCTAAACACTGGGAAGTTGCATCAAGCACAGGAAGAGCATCAAATATTTCTCTTAGACTGTTGACAGCTTGATATCTGATGCACAAATGCACCCATTTTACTCTTTTCAGTAGCCTTTTAATCACTTCAAAACTCTTCAGAAAAAGAAAATCTGCCTCTTCCTTAATATGGACTGTAAAAGCTGGAGAAAACAGACTTGTGCAAACATGAAGGAATATTTTTGCACTGGAATTTACTAGTGTTACTAGTGCTACTACTAGCAGCAGTCATTAGAGGGAGGTTCAAATAAAATTTGGGATATTTCAATCTGTTGAGAGTAGAATACTTTAATTTTTTAATTTCCTACTGCACCAGAAACTGACTACCGCTGATCAATATCTTATTGCAAGATGCACAGAGCGTTCATTAAATCTGCCTCTGAAGCAGCTCACTTCCTTGTGTTCTATACAACAAAGTAGTAGCTGATCACTACATGGTAGGAATTATAACAAAATTGTAAAGAAAGCATGTTTCTTCAGATATGAAAACGAGAGTAATTAAAGAAACCCAGGATAAAGTGGGCATCTACAGTCGTTTGTAGATGCTATCTAAATCTAGGTCAACATCCACTAATAATTGGGTGTTAGTTGTGATTCTCTTTGGTTGCTTTTCATTTCTAGGATTGGGATATCTGTGGCTGATACGTAGAAGTATAACTTATGATGGCATTCATATACCGGGAATAGGATTTACTTTATCACCTTGGAATCTCCAAATGTCTTTATTCTGGATATGACAGAAGCCTCCTCAACTCCTTAATGCATTCCCTGCCAATTAAGTATTAAACATTTGCTTCTATTGTATTGAAAAAACAACCAGGTACTGTGATCCAACTCTATTAAACAAATTACAGATGGGCTCTTGGAGCTGATGAAAAAGCACGAACAAACTGTTGACTTTAAGGCTCATGCATGCAAGCTGGCCAATTGTTTTCTGCACATAACCCTTTTCATGTATAGAACCATTTGTTGATGTCCTAACATGAACTGGGCTGCATAGAAGTGCTAGCCCAGTCATAACCAGTACAAAAGAGCTGCTTGGTTTATATCACATACAGTACAGTTCACTTCATACTGCACATAATTCCACATGTGAGAAGAAATAGACCAATGATAACAGGTGGCCACAGACCTTTTTTTTTTTTTTTTACACATAAGGGTCACATATGATTTTAGAGCCTTCGTGAAAACCAATTGGTTCTCTGGATTACAGGCACCCAATAAGCAGGGACATTGTTCAGCAATTGGAAGTATGCAGCATACTGCTTCATAAGCATTGTTTTATCATCCCTGTGTTACAGAATCATACATGTACTTCTTTACTCATGAAGAAGTTGCATTATTCTTGGTGATGACTTTGTGATAAGCATTTGCAACCTGAGAAGAATGCGTAGGTATGTGCAAAGGGTAAAATAGTAAAGAGGCAGTCATTTGCATGGATTGTGGCCAGCCTGGAGCAATGGAAGTCTTCAAATTAAATTAAAGGATTTAAAAAAAAATCCACAGGAAAGAACAGAGGCAAAAATGAAAATTTTACCCATCTGGATGGATTTTCAAGTTCCACAACGAAATAACTGAAAAGTTGTACTATCTCTTTGTCATCTCTTAGAAATTAGCATTTGGCACCGGTGAAGCCACACACACAAAGGAAAGTTATACTTCTTTTGTGTTCTTTCAATAGCATCCGCATGCATGGCTATGAGATGGAAAGAGAAGAGTCCTCACCGCATGGAGCAATAAATTAGATTTTCCACAAAAGTAAACAAATAAATGGTACTGCAAGACCATCATAAGCTCATCCTTTTAAACATATTCTTACCCCTAAAGTTTAGCATGAACTGCTGTATAAATGATTATTTTTTTCTCAATATATACCAATTAGAAATGTCCCACCCCCGACACTTAGGCTGAATATTGCACATGGCTTGCAACTTACATTGATTTCACCAGCCAAAATAATTGGTGTCTGTTTGTCTTAAAATTACATTTTTTTCCACAGAATAGGTCAATGATATTCCATGGATAGAGGTAGATTATGGGGTTGAACTAATCAGATCAAAGCCCTGTATGTTTGTGTGCTCTTTGAGGAGTCTCATAAAACTGAGATAGTCCCATAATTGACCACTAGCCATGGGATATTATAACATATTCCATGATGACTAGTATTTTTATTCCCCAACCTCTATGTTGAACCAATGTGAAAAATAGTTTCGTCCGAATGGAATTATTTTCTTATTGCTTTCATTTATCTCTATGTTTTTTTTAAAAAGATACCCTGTGAGATTATCGCTCAAGGCTCTTCAGAAGAAATCTGCCCCCAATGGCCACCATGCTCCCCCTTTTCCATCAGCCTTTCAATAGTAGATGGTTGCAGAAGCTGTTGATTGTAGACTAAGTTTTCACGAGAAAGCATTGATGAGCCTTGTGTTTTGAATGCTAAATGCTAAGCTTCTGTATGATCCTACTGAGTTGGAATTGCCTGCCACAGGATAAAATCCTTATGTTTAGCTTTGTTCCTTTCTGAACCTCATCACATGTCTTTAAGAAATCTAAGCTGCGTTTCTAATAAGTAAATAAGCAAACCACTTGGGGGGGGGGAAGTGTTTTTCTTATGGATTTGCATGTAGATGTAAGTTACTGTTTGCTTTGTTCTTCTAAACCCCCAAATCCATGGTTTTCTGCAACTTTAGAAGTAGCTAAGTATAAAAGGAAAGTAGCTAGCTAGGGGGGAAAATGTAGTGTTATATTTGTGTTTTCTTTCTGGGCCAAAAGCTGTGCCCGTGACTGCTAATATGCTAGGCAGCAGACAATCTTTGTGAACCATCTTGAAATAAAAAATGTAGTCTGTCAGTAAAAATTATAGAACTCTGAAAATATTCCTCAATCTAGTTATTCCTTCAGAGCCTTTAAGTATCCCGTTAAACGGGACTGATCGGAGGGCTCCTAGCAAACCTGTGCAAGTGCTAAATTTTGTTCATCAGCTTCTCCTGTTTGTCACCTGTCCCTGCAACCTGTACGTCCCACACATGATTCCATTTGTGGTAGTGGGACAATAATGGGATAACGTGCTATCCATTGGGCTAAGAATGCAGTCTGACTGAATCTTTCAAGCTCTAGAAAGGATGGAGATTAAAAGTCAGATGGACATTCCTCTAAGAGGTTTCCTACCTGCTCTGTTAATTTCTAACATTTCTTCTTGGGCGAGTGGGCATGTGTCGCTCTGAGTACTGTGGTGTGGAGAGTTTATGACAGATTTACAATAATTGGGGGATCCCAGCTGGGGCGGCCGCGGGATATGCTTCTTTTTTTTCTTTGGTAGCTTCTGCTTAGCCATAGCTAAGGAGTAATACATTCCAAAATTGTTCACAATGACGGGTACAGGCATGGCAATGGTCAGCACGCCTGCGAGAGCACAGAGGGCCCCCACCAGCATGCCTGACCAAGTCTGAGGATACATGTCTCCGTAGCCCAGGGTAGTCATGGTGACAACAGCCCACCAGAAGCCAATGGGGATATTTTTAAAATGTGTGTGTTCGCTGGCACTAGGGTCATTGGGTTTAGCACCTATTCTCTCAGCGTAGTAGATCATTGTGGCAAAGATTAAGACGCCCAGTGCCAAGAAGATGATGAGCAGCAAGAATTCGTTTGTGCTGGCACGGAGAGTATGACCCAAAACCCGCAGTCCTACGAAATGGCGAGTCAGCTTGAAAATTCGCAGAATCCGCACAAACCGGACCACCCTCAAGAAGCCCAAAACGTCCTTAGCGGCTTTGGAAGACAGGCCACTGAGTCCAACCTCCAGGTAAAATGGGAGAATGGCCACAAAGTCAATGATATTCAAGGTGTTTTTGATAAATTCCATCTTGTTGGGGCAGAAAATGACCCTCATCAGAAACTCAAAAGTAAACCAAATCACGCAGACCCCTTCAATGTAGGTCAGGAAAGCCTCCGTCTCAGTCTCCTGATAGACCCGCACCTGGGTGTCATTGCCAACAATTTCCTTCTCTGTCTTGTTAACGATAGGGTTAAATCTCTCGTGGGTCTCGAGGCAAAAGGTGGTGATGGAAACCAGAATGAAGAAGAGGGAAGCAAATGCGATGTACTGTAAAAAGAAAGAAGAAGAAGAAGAAGAAAAAATAGTTAGAGGATTAAGTTTCTTTGGGAAGGATAGAAAGATCACCAAGCATACAGAGATCCATTTGTGACTCATTAAGGAAAATAAGGCTGGCACAAAAACCTAAATACAGATTCTTGGTACTCATCAGTGGTGGGATTAATTTTTTTTTACTATCTGTTCTGTGGGCGTGGCTTGGTGGATGTGGCTTGGTGGGCATGGCAGGGGAAGGATACTGTAAAATCTCCATTCCCTCCCGATCAGCTGGGACTTGGGAGGTAGAGAATAGATGGGGGCAGGGCCAGTCAGAGGTGGTATTTACCGGTTCTCCGAATTACTCAAAATTTCCGCTACTGGCTCTCCAGAACTCCTCAGAACCTGCTGAATGCCACTTCTGGTACTCATCCAATAAAGTAACCAGGTCCTGGCCTAGTTAATTTATGAGCAAAGAGAAGGCTCACATACAATTCAGGAACCATCTCAGGAATCTTTATCTCATTCTTTTGTATAGAATTTGTTTTGAGATTTTTCTCTTTTTTTTAAAAAAAAAAACATGTTTGCATTTTGCTCCAAAGAGGAAAACAGGTGTTGTTTCGGCCACTCAACATTCTGGAATCATAAAAAAAGAGGCATTACGTTAAATTCAGGAAAGTGTTTGGCCAAGATGACATCAGTGAAAAGAGTGAGGCCAATTGTTCCTTTAATATAGCGGAAAATTCCCATTGTTAATCATTGTATCTCATGACAGCTGATGCTACCATAGTTAGTAATTTTTACCACTGAGGGAAAAAAAGATATTAAAAGTTGCATTATTTTAAGTCATGTTTTAGCTTGGAGATCAGAACATTTTATTTGTTGCAAGCCTCCTTAAATATCAGCATTAAAAGCAAAACAGGTCATAAATTCAAATAAAAGAAATGCAGCAATGAATAAGAAGGTAGGCATTTTTTTAAAAAAAAGGGGGGAGATGGTAATCATAGGTATAACTAGAAGAACAGTCTGATAATTAAATTATACCAGATATCATGATCAAAGTTTTCAGGATAGGGCGAAGATCTGGACATTTGCAAACTTTGTTTGGAACAAAGTGCTGAATGCTTTATGATGTGTGCATGTATGTATGTGTTTGTGTTTACGTGTGTATCTATTTCTATATCTGTCTCAGTCTCTATCTCTATCCTCTCTATCCATATCTGTTGTGGCCCAGCAAGAAGCCGTTGGAGCTGCCACCAGACTCCGACAGCGAGGGGTCCTATGAGTCGGCTCTGGAGGACCCTAGACAGGATTCTGACTCCGAGCAGGGCGCAGAGAGGCTGGTTGGCCACCAGGAGGCACCTGAGCCTTGGACCAGTGGGGAGGAGACAAGGGAGTGTGATCCTGACGTCAGCAGTGAGTTGTTCCTGGATGCCCGGCACCAGAGAGCTAATAGGTGTAAGGAACAGTTGCGCAGTTACAGGAGGTAATTGCACCTAGCTGCTGGTAATTAGGCTCCTTTCCAGACTATAAAAGGACTGCTTGTGCACATGCCCCTTTTGCAGAAGTCAATGCATTAACGAATGTTGGAGAACAGTATTGTGAGCTTGGTAGGCTGTATTGCTGCCACGGCTTATCTGTGTTGGATTGCTGCCAAGGCTTATCTGTGCCGGTTTGCTGCTAAGGACCTGTCTGTCTGTTAATAAATTCCGTAAAGTATTTTTGACTCGGAGTGTGTTGGTGTGGGACGAGGGGGGTCAGAACACATATCCATATCCATATCCATATCTATAACCTAATTTACAGAATAGCTAAAGAAACATCCAGTGAAAATGGGGAGACACTTGCACTCTCTGAATAGCCTTTATATTGTAGGAAAGCAGTGAAAACGTCCTGGCATTTCAAATTGGATGTTTTCATAATTTATCTTTTTTTCTTTTTGAACAAAGCTGCTAGTATACTTTAGATTAAATATTGTATTGTTTAACGTTGTAACATCAGGAATGTAGTACTTCACATGCTTAAAACCCCAGTTGTTCAGTCCATTATCCCCTCCCCCATTTATGCTGTTTCGTGCACATGACCTAGTGCTGACATGAAGCCCTGATACTGCAAAACCCTTGTTCAAGGGAACTCAGCTAAAACACCCAGCCAAAGTCACAGGGTTTTATAAACAGAAAATCAGGAATGCATAATTTATTACTGTACAACACTTGAAACTTACTAATGTCAGGTGACTATTTAAATAACTATTCAAAGTTCATGAATAGATATTTATTAAGAACATCTCCAATTATATACTTGTTGTTTTCATTGTTCCTATTTTTCTGATCTCAGAAGTTGGAAAAGACTTAAGTACTTTGGAATGAAAGAACCATGCTTTTAGATAGTCCGTCACCCAAATAGTGCACTTTCATGACTGCATTCAGAAATCACTTGTTCTGTTCAGGTTATTGCACCTGAAGGTGATAACATTCTGTCAAGGACACCCAAATTTAAAATAAATATTGATTTTTTTTACATCTGCCATTTTCAATGTAACCATTAGTTATAAGAAGACTATTGCTTCTATTTCACTCCATTGCTGCTACCACTTGTGTGAGAATGCCATATTAATGTAAAAATGGGAACATAGGTTTGTTCGTATGCATTACAAGAATGCCTTAGGCATGCCTACCAAGTTATAGTCTCTGAAATGAGAATTAATGATCCGGAGATAGATATCTTAAAAGGTGAAACACAAATATTCTGAGTTAAAGATTAATTGTCGGTTCAACTAAATATCAATTGCCTCCCCCCGCAAAAGAGTCAGAGATTGTACTAAAACATCATAGGTTTATGATGAATGAAACTAATGTATGCTTAATATAGACTCAGGCTGTTTCTATCTATGATTTGTTTAGTGTGTGAACCAGTAACTTTGGATTGCTTGTTTTGTAACACAGCAGGACCACAACCCAGGAAATGAAATATAGCTTATGACTCTATGAGCCAGTCTGGTTCCCATTTAATATGAAATGAGCGAAGGAGCCAAGTGGGAGCAATCAAACAGTTGACACTGGGCATTTTTATTTATTGTGACATCCAAATGTGTAAGATTTTTTGTATTAAAAAAAAATATTTTTAGTCTTCAAAACAAACACAACCCAAAAAATCCTCTTTCTGTACATACTGTAGAAAGTGTATCAGTTGATTACAAAAAAATTTCGTGCATTTCTTTCACAGTCAC